ATTGGCTAGAAAATGACATGTCTCTCTTGTGATTGGTTCATATCAGTTGATGTGCAAAATCGTGCAATTTAGAGCTCAAAATCGTGCAATTTATGCTGAAATCACTGCTGCAGGGAACCAATCAGATTGCAGGATTTGCTTGTGATTTCAAAATGGATGYAATAAAAGGGGGAATCACTTCGATAAATTAGAAATAAGTGTTTTGAAAGGAAATGACTATGATGAAATTCGAAAGTCTCCCAGTCGGTCAATTTAGTACACATCTTATTTACTAGAAGATATATTGAAACCCCTAACACCGGGCCCTACGGTACAGGGCGGGGAATTTAACATACGTGTATAATGTTCGGTTAGATTTAGCACTTTATTTATTTATTTACATTCATACTTTAACAGGAGCTTCTTCACTTATAAATGTGATTTTCAAGAAGGTCCTGATAAATAAGATATTTTTACTGAAAAATATGTAAAAAGAGAATTTGGAGGTTGAATATCGAAACCAGCTCGTTACTGAAAAGTCAACATCATTATTACTAGTATGTAAAAATGTAAAAGATGAAAAGTTCAAATTATTTCCACGGGTCCCCACGGGGAAGGATCATTACTGTTAAGATTATTGAAATTGTTGCTCTTAAAATCGTTAAGCCGTTCACGTTTTATTCTCCGTATACCCGTAAATCTACGCTGTTAAATGCGCGTTAAATCTCCGGTCTCGCCGCGTTAGTTACCAACCCTGTCCCGGGGATCCGGGGGTGGGTTTCAAGGGCAAATCCAGGGGGCAAAGAGGGGCTGAAGCCCCTTCCCCCCTTCAGCAGAAAAAAACGATGCTTTATTATATTGTTTTCCGTTGTGTCTACGGAAGAAACTCAATTAGCCCCCCCTAAACTCAATTAGCCCCCCCCCCTCTAAACGTTTGGCTGGATCCGCCCTTGGATTTCAATCGACTATTGCATTAAAATCGATGCAATTTGTCGTAAATYTTTATTGGATACAGATTTAACGGAAAGTGGCTTCCTAAAGTCGCGTCTAGACTATTTCCTTGATAAGTATCTTTGATAATCAGTGGAGCACCAAACAGTTGCATAGAATCTCCTTGGATTAAGGGGCCAGTCATCATTTAAGTCGGGGGGGGGGGGTGAGGGTGGAGAAGAAAACGGGGGACGCTTCTCAATTTTTTTCTATTGGAACATGCGGGGCCTTGAAAGGTCAAAAGGAGGATCGGGAGGACTTTTTAAACGATTGAAGGTGGTACCCGAAAAACGTGAATGCTATTAAGTTGGGGTCTGGAAAATTTTTTGCATCGATAACATTTTCTCCTCCACCCCCCACCCCCATCGACTTAAATAGTGACTGATCCCTAAAGTGATTTAAATAGAAAATAGTATCGGCGCGAATATCAGTAAAACCACTACACCACCCTTGATTACCATTAGACATATTGTAAACAATTTAATCTTCTTGGATTAACGTTTTCAATTCTGGGATATTTTTAAGGCTACGTTTTTAAGCAGCATTGGTTACTTCGTCAGTAGAGTCGAGCCTGTTTTAGGGGACTAAATAGACGCCATTATAAATTTGTCCCCTAAAAGTGCACCAGGATAAACTGCGATGTCAACTCGACACGGATTTTTCTTTAACCTCGGAATGACTTCCAATCAACTTCCTATCAGAAACTCCCATCATAATTATTTTTAGCGGAGGAGAAGACGGATGCGGTCTCTGAACGTTATTTCTTCATAACGTTAACTCGGAGCATCGAATGCATTTAATCAAATGTCCAATTGCTATGCAGTATCCAAGCACTACTGAAATCCCTTAAAGGGCTTATTTTAATTACAGTTAAAACAAGAGACTTGGAAAATTAGATCTTGAACGATTAGGTCGATCATAATTTATTAATGTCTCCTTCGCTTTTTAATTAAAAAAATCGTATTCTAGCGAGTTCGATAGAAATTATAAATTATTTCCAATTTACCAACGCTTGGAATTAATGCGAGGTATTAATTTTGTCTATCGTATTTACGCGTATATCTACCTCTACGATTTCGATCATCGAGCAGTTTTGATTGTTTGTGGTGGAAGAGAGCTCTGAGTTACTCGTCGTACAGTTTTCATCGATGTGGTAGATCCTATTTCAGTTTAAGGTAAAATTTGATATTTCTGTGGGTGTGGTAGAGCGTTATTCTGMTTCTAATTTTAGTGAAATAATTTGGACGCACGAAAGGAAGGGAAAGAAGCAGGAGGGAAACAAAGGAACATGATAGCTGAAAAAAGTAATGAGAAAGAAAGGAAAGGAAAGGAAAGGAAAGGAAAGGATGGGAAGGGAACGAAAGGAAAGGAAGAGAAAAGCAAGAATTGAAAAGAAAACTAAGACAAAAACATATGATATAATAGGCCGGATATGTTTCTCATTTTTCTTATTTCAAAAGATATATAAATTTCAGCACATTTCTGTCGAAAATCATAACTTACTTCCTTACGTTGACTTTTCGTCGCGCTTATTGATACAAAAATCTAAATCTTCAAAATATATAAAGCCTATCAAATAATGACGTCATTTGCATTCACTTCATTGAAAAGTCATCGACATGCTCAACAAATTTCGATCACTGCCCTTGTCGACTTCTTGCAAAAGAAATGCGTAAAAACGTGGAGTGTTCTTATATTAGAGAGTTTTAGATTGACTTTTTTTTCTCCCCGCAAACGGCAAACGTGACCACGTTTTCATCGTTTTCCTGTATTTTACTTTACCTTTTACAAACCTTCTCACCAAGCGCAAATACTATTTTGTTTTTCTACTACTTGGACTTTTTTGCGATTCTTTTTCAGTAATTTAAAATGATTTTTTACTGGTCAACTGACGTTCCACGTTTGCCGTGAACGTAAATCTAAAACTCTCTATTCTTGCAGCTTTTGCCAACGCACGACTACTTTCAAWACCATTCGGAAAACTATTTTTTTTCCATGGAAACGAATATTTAGAAAAATACAATTAGCGTTTTTTTATAAATTAAATCTAACGAGAAGACGGAAGAATAGGACACTCCATTCCTTTGTCAAAATTCATCAGTTTTCATGATTTTAAACGCGAGGTTATAAACAAATAGACCAAACTGACTCTTGAAATACTTAGATAGATTGTATATTCTAGCCGGTTGCGCCAGAGAGAACAAAAACCTTACTTAAGCTTTTAGAAAATYGGATTTGTGCCTTAGTTGGTAATTGTGGTGTGTGCTTCAAAACGCGCCGGTAATAATACTCTAGTATACTATGGAAAAAAAACTAATTGGATAATCTAGGTAATATAGCAGAAGGCCTAAAAAGTGTTGGTACTGATCGATTATTATAGTATCATAAGTTGCACGTCTGAGCGCTGACTAATTGGCCTTCAAATTTATTTATCGATACCTTGAAACAACCTCTAAGTCAGGGCACGCATAACTCACAGATCCAACCCTGAAACAACCTCTGGGCTGATCTAACTCGGGCATAGCGAACTCATAGATCGAACCCTGAAACAACCTCTGGGCTGATCTAAGTCAGAGCACGCATAACTCACAGATTGATCCCTGAAACAACCTCTGGGCTRATTTATCTTAGAGAACGTCTTAGGTTTTGCGGAGCGATAGAAACCGGAGAAAATCCTCAAACAATTAGACCCAAGCATGGACTATTTAGTATGGACGCGGTAATTACTTTATATTTAGTGCYGTCCTTTCGTTTGTATTTCAAACGGATGTTGGTGGAGCAGAGTTGGAAAGGTGACAAGAAATAACGGTTAAGTTTGCTCCGGGACTGAAATGCCTCAGTCTCTTTGTCTCCGTTTCGTTGTGCTTGGTGGAGGTCGGTTCAGTATGTGTTCTTCTGGGAAAATTTTCTCTCCGCTTTCTTACTCTACATGATCAAGCACACTTTTTAGAACACAACAATGGGATTATTTTTAGATCTAGAAATATCCACTTATTTCCGAAGCTTATTTGTTTTCCTGGTGATTTCCGATTCYCCTCAACAGGACTATTTCTTTTCCAGAAAAATTGTGCTCGATCAGTGACGAGTTTTCTTTGAGGATTCTCTTTGAGTTTGCCGTACACTGACTTAGATCAGCCAAGAGGTTGTTTCAGGGTTTGATCTGTGAGTTAACCATGCCCTGACTTAGATCAGCCCAGAGGTAGTTACAGGATTCAATATGTTTGTTAGCAGTGCCCTCAGATCAGGCAAGAGGTTGTTTCAGGGTTCTATCTGTGGGTTAGCCATGCCCTGACTTAGATCAGCCCAGAGGTTGTTTCATGGTTCGATATGTTTGTTAGCAGTGCCCTCAGATCAGCCCAGAGGTTGTTTCGAGGTTCCATCTGTGAGTTAGCCATGCCCTGACTTTGATCAGTCCAGACGTTATTTCAGGGTATCTAAGGGCTAGGCGAACTAGGATTATTTTTGATATACATCTATTTTTGAGTGTACATTTAWACATTATATCGCTAGTTCACACTCCCGCTTTCGCACCCTAGTATCTAAGTCAGCTATGTTACAAAAACAGAMAAAGAAAATTTCAATTGAAAAATAAAAACAAAAGTTACTTATTCTAAAGAGTATACCTTTTCAAAAATTCACCTTTAACGTTTGTTAACATTTTCTAAAACAATCGTTTTCCTTTTTTTTTGTTTTCTTGCATTTTGATTTGTGTGAATGCTTTTTTGTCAATTTTGATGTCAGTTTTTCCCGGTTCTGACAGGTGTAAATAACCTCTATATTCCACGAAGAGTTTTATTGACCATTTTATTATACCTTCAAATGTCTTCTCTACTAAATGTTAAGTAGAAATTATTTTCGTTTGCTTTTTTTTTTCAAAATTTTATCCCCGTTGCTAAAAATAAAGAACTTACCAAAGATTGTTAGCGAATTTTTTATCCTCTTCAACGCACCGCACTTTTACGGAAGTCTATTAGAATGACCACACGTCCTGAGAATAAAAGAACAGCTTTCCTATTCAATATTTCTATGTATTATATTCTAAAGCCGAGTACATAACGTAAACATCATCCCTGTGTTTGCTTTGTACATCATTAGTGTTGCTATAGGAACGCCCATCTTGGCAAGGTATATATGGATCGGCTTTGACTCGTAGTTCTTAGACTGTCGTTTTTTATTTGCAGTGAAGACACAGGCGTTCAAAGATTGCTGGTGAACAGACTTCAGCGCCTGAATATAACGAACATTATAGAACAAAAGAAGTTGACGCTCTAAAGTTTATRGTGAAGACAAGTTGAATATACTAAGTACAGCAGATGTTGTAGAATGGACAGAAAATATTTCGGGATCGCTCTTGTTTGATCTGCACAGTCGCCGTGATCGACAGGCAAGCATCGAGACAAACTCCTGTCTTTTTTCAGTTATTATCTCGATTGAAAAATGACGACATCCATGGATTCAATATCTTCTACTCCTCAAGTAATGGTCACGAAAGGCTCTCTACTGAATTCACAATGCGACGAATCTCTCGACCTGGTATTTTGGGTACTGGACGGAATGATCGCAGTAGTAATATTCATCGGGAATATTCTTACTTGTTTGGTATTTTTATCCAAGCGTCACCTACGACAAAACTACATGAACATATTCCTTTTAAGCCTTGCGCTTTCAGACATGCTAATGGCGTTGCTGGTTGCGCCGTGGTTTGCAAGTTATTGCGAAACAAAATGCAAATATACTTTGTCGAATTATTGTTTTTGGTTTGGCATGATGAGAGATATTCCCTTCCAAAGTGTTGTACTCAATTTGGTGGCGATAACGTATGACAGGCACCTCGCAGTGTTTCGTCCTCTTGTCTACGGCGCAAAGATGACTAAGAGAAGAGTCTGCATTATCCTAGCTCTAGTTTGGTGCACTCCTGTTATTACAGCTCTTACGCGCATGACCTGGACTTTCAGTGATATCCCATCAGAGAGGAAAACATTCATTGACCGATCCTTCAACATTTTCCTTATATTTGTTTTCGTACTTTTACCGATAACTGGGATTTTTATCGTCAATTTGATGATAATGTATACCATCCAAAAACACAACCGTGTTGCACCAAGGCATCAGGCAAGTCAGAGTAGAAGCCATAGTGAAACGTCTGAATCCGAGCGTAGAGAGAGGGTTCGCAAAAAGAGAGGCACGATGTCATGTGTACTTGTCGTATTTGTTTTCTTTGCCTGCTGGCTGCCAAGAATCGTATACAACTTTTTTTTYCTCGCAAAGACACCTCATCTTGCTACAACTCCTTTTATTAAAGTCTCCATGTTTTTTCTTCTTTTGCAAAGCACAGTGAACCCAATTATCTACTCTTTCTATAGGCAAGAATTTCGTCAGGCAGCGTTGGGACTGCTTCGAAGGTAGTAGTCGTAGACGGTAAATCAATAGACTGCTTGTTTGAGACGCTTGAGACTTAACTTTTCTCAAAAGAAGAAAACCCAAGATTTTTTAAACGCCCAAATATCCGTTTCCAAAACTTAGCTCGGAAATGACTCGACTTTGATACGAGAGAACAAACAATGAGCTGGTTAAAGTGCTTATAAATTAAACTTTTCAAGGAGAAAATTTTATTAAACGTTGGCTGGCAAATCTTCCTTCTAATAAGAGTCTTCTCTTAACCGAATGCTGTAGACTACCGCTAGGATTACTAATAACATTTTATTTGTCTTGTAGATACATAGTTCCTACACTGGATTTATCATATTGACACAGTAAATAAGTCTAGATGAAGGGCTTTTTCTTTGGAAAAACATCTCTTTCTCTGCTTCATATTTACATTTGAAACCAGTCTTGTACCAGTTTTCTTGGCAATTATTTCAGATGTTATAAATAAATTTAAGTCTAAGTAAAGTAAGGTTGTTTTTCATTTTTCTTCAAGATAAGTTTTGATGAGTTAAAACTGAAAAGCGTTTTTTCAATACAAGGAATAAACAGCTGCTTTTCTTTTTTTCTTTTTCTTTTCTTCTTCTTCTTCTTCTTTTTTTTTCTTTTTCTCTCGTATTATTCAAAATGTTTCCTACGCTTTGTCTTGAATTTTAATGTTTTCTAATGAAACTATAAAGCTTGACTGTGACCTGTCAGTAGCTCATATTTCTAATTTCCAAAAATTAACTTAAAAAATGCAACATCTTCAATTATAATTGCCCTTCACCGTCTGCTAAATAAAAGAATTTTCGAAACCAAAAGAAAAAAAAATTGTCAAGGTTGTCAAAAATGAAGACCAGGTGGTCTTGACTTCGTTCGGGTTTCTTTCAACTAGTTCAAGGGGAAAATTAAATTTACTGCATGTCTAGAAGTTATTATTCAAAAAGATTAAAAAGCGCGCTTGATAATTGAGCCAAATTTATGGAGTTTATATATCTGTGGACAAAACATAGTTTTTATTTTGTTTGGGATATATTTTTATCTCAGTTTTTTCAAACACTTTATTTTTTGCATGCTTTTCGATATTGCATTGTATAGATTTGCATTCATGATATCAATGGGACYCTGTGGAATTTTCTTGTCAATGTGTACTGAACAATTCAAGTTATGCATTCTATACTAATTTTCAAAAGTTTGATGCATAAAACCTATTGCATCTGGTCGCCCTTGGATGTTACGATGTGTATAAACAAAGGCAAGCAGGTATTATGTGGTTCAGTTGTGCATGCTATACTACTCAAAGAAAATATCTAATATATCTAATGCGCAAAACCTGTACTTTTTTGTGCAATAAATAATGAGTAATCCAGGTATCTTGTCCTTTTTTGTGTATACTCTCACACATCAGGTCAACTGTTTTATTTCTGTCCTTTAAACAATACCCAGAGTTCCTTATTTCGGTCCAATTTTATTGTCCGCTGTTTCTAAATCATGCACTTCACATCTCGTCAAATAAACCTGATGCTGTCATGACTTATATGTCCAAAGTTGACAATGTTGAAGTCATCTGGAATGAACTACGTTTATCCTAGAATCTTAGTGGAATAAATTCGAAGAAGTTATGAAAATAACAAGAGGTTGATTCGATGGAATGGGAAAAAACTTGACGTATTGTATTGTATTATTTTTTCTTTCTTTCTTTCTTTGTTTCTTTCTTTCGTTTGTTCGTTCGTTCGTTCGTTCCTTCTTTCGTTCGTTCGTTCGTTCGTTCGTTCGTTCGTTCGTTCGTTCGTTCGTTCGYTCGCTCGCTAGCTCGCTCGTTCTCACTACCTATTTCTATACACTACTGCATGCGCAACTCTTTTAACATAAGATTTCCTCGTTTTGTCAATCGTTTTGTCTTTTGTCAATCGTTTACCCTGCACATACGCATGCAAATGACGTGACGTAAACCGTCGTTATACTGGACCGCGGTCAAGATAGAAAATACCGGCCGTTCCAACAGCCAATAACAACGCACGATTTTTAGGATACCGGGCCGCGAAAAAAAATAAAATAAATAGCACTTATCTGCTTCAAGTTTATACACTTGACTAGAAACACAATTGATYAAATCAAGAATACTCTAGTTAGGAAAAGGAAGCGCGTTATACTCGTAAAAAAAATATTTTGAGCATAACTTTTCTAAGGCCCCGTCCACACTATGCCGGATAAATTTGAATCCGCAACTTTCACACCGAAACCGGAAAAAAAAAATTTCCGTCCACACATGAAAACGGAGAAAATGTTTCGCGTCCACGCACTAGTCCGATCAGAGGCGGCAAAAGCGCTTCATTGCACACCTGAGAATGCGCTTCGAAGCTGAAATTGATTCCGCGGTGAATTTTTATCCTTCCCGCCATGTTCCCATGACGTCATCGTATTAGAAAAGTTCCGGATACGAAATGTTCTCCGTCCACACTAATACGGCTAGCCGGCGTTTTCAAATTGTTCCACTCTGGAGACCGTATTCGAAAAGTTCCGTTTTCGGTGAAGAATTGTTCCAGATTTGTCCGGACTAGGGCGGTAGGCCTAACCGGATAAATAACAATTCGGATTCAAATTTATCCGGCATAGTGTAGACGAGGCCTAAGTCACGAAATCTTCCCAATTTTACTGAATTTTCGTGTTTTTTGTTTTGTTTTGTTTTGTTGTTTTTTTTTTGTTTTTTTTGTTTGTTTGTTTGTTTGCTTGTTTGTTTTGTTTTGTTTTTGTGGCCCGTCAAGATTGGATGCGCAAGCAAATTTGAGAAAACTGTATACTCAAAATTGAATTGTAAAAGTTTCTAATTTTGGACGTTAAATTTGGTCGCTCCAAACTTATGAAGATGTTTACTGAAAAAAAAGTGAAAGCAAAACATATTGATTGGTTTTGTTTATTGAAGTGTGTCGTCCAGTTAGTTAGTGTTACAATATTTAGTTGTGCTTTTTCGAAGTTTTTTAGTAATTGTATCCATAAACATAACTTTTGGTCATCCATCATTTGATTAAACGACATCGCGTGAAAAGAACTGAAATGTCAGGCTCATTCACGGGAACGGATTTTCCCCCGAGCTTTGAAATTTTTAATAGTGCAACGTGTGTTTTAATTATTGATAGAAGGAAACAGGGCATGTGATTAACGACATCGCCATCGCGTGAAAAGAAACTGAAATGTCAGGCTCATTCACGGAAACTGATCCCCCCACCCCCCACCCCTAGTTTTTTTGACCTTTCAAATTTGACTAGTGTAGCGTGTGTTTTCATTATCGATAGAAGGAAACAGGGCATGAAAGAAAGAAAACGAAAATATAAAAAAAATGACGAAAGAGAATGCATGAAAATGCCTTGAAAATGTAAAGGTGGTTGAGAGGAAAAGTTGTCAAGAACAGGAAGAAAAAATGAAAAAGAAGAMATGCAAAGAAAGGAAGAAAAGTAAGAAAAAAGAGGGGGAAAAAACGATGATAGCAAAAGTGTAGCGAAAACCTTTGAATATTGTATTCCACATCAGGATTCAAGTCGTGCGTCTGTAAACCAAAACAAAAACAAAATCGACCTTGTCATTTATTTCGGTCAATAACAAATTTACTACCGGACATGAGGAAACCACTTGAACAGACCATTAAGAATATTTCAAAGTATTGTTTGGCGATAAAAAGACAAGTTGTGGGGTAATTAAATTTATCAATAAAAAAAGAAAATTTAATCGCGAAAAATATATATCCTCTTTTTCGCCTGATGCGATGTCGTGATGGGGCTTGATGTTTCCTATGAAGAATCGGTAATTAAGATACAAGCCAATTTGCGTCACGTTTATGAAGCTTAATAGTATTTGCGAATCGGTTTATGCTTGCTAATGAGAGCACTAATTTGCGAAACGATTTTTCAGTTCCCCGCTGTTTTGGTTTTTTATCAAGCAAATGATTTTATTACGAAATATTCGGGGTATTTTTTATTTTGTTTGTTTTTCTCTCTTCTCTTCTCTTCTCTTCTCTTCTCTTCTCTTCTCTTCTCTCTCTACACCTTTCCTCCTTAACATAACTACGACTCACACCTCAATTACTGATTCTATTTTTAGAAGTTAATTATGCTTGAGGAACCAAGATCCCGCCCCAAGGCGGAATGTACCTGCTGAGCCATTCAATAACACTGTCAAMGCCTTCTAAGAGAACACTTTCCTCTTTCAACGACTTTTAAACTTACCTGCTTTTTTGTCTAATTAAAATAATCTGCTCTTTATAGTCCTAGTCGTTATACTAAAAATAGGTCTGAACGCGCGTTATTCCTACAAAATTTACTTAATCTTGTGCAAAAACATTAAATTTAATGCTTTCCGTTCTAAATTCTTATTTATGAATCGATTTTTTAAATGAAAAACAAAGATCGGAAATTCAGGTCATTAAATTGAACTAGAAAATTTCATCGTTATATTTTGAATCTTTGGACACGGCCACAAAATAAATAAAAGTTTTGTTGACTTTCTTTTGACAACCTCACAATTGCTTCCAGTCATTTGATTAAAAAACTTCCACGCCGCGAACAGGTCATCTATCATTTAGYGTCAAATCCGACTCTTTTATTAGATTTTTTGAAGCGATCAAGCAAATATCACGAATGCGCATCATATTGTGGGAGAGATTTTATCTCTAGCGTGAAAGCTTTTGAGCGATTTAGCTTCTCCAATAACACCTGTGTTCCGTTAGAACGAGCGATGCGGTCTGTTTGAATATCATTGTCACTCCATTCTTCCCGCTACATATTAATATTAGATATTAAATGAACACTTGAGAAAACGTTAAAAAAGTTAACATAAATTTGCGAATGATTATAGATTAAAGAAAACTTTTTTTTTACAAACATTTACGGTTTTTAATCAAAAATTGTTAATATATTTTTTCTCCCTTCCTTTCTTTCTTTCTCCTATTTTTTTAAAACGAAAGAAAAAGAGCATTTTTTTTCGACATTGTTATTTCATCAATCATTGCATGAGTCAAACTGTCGATTGAAAAGAAAATATTTCAGCATTTGAAATTTATATTACATGGGCACCACAATTAAAGCCCATTTGCTGTTCGATGCTGGAAAGTGCTTCCTATACTTAAACATATTTCCAGACGAAAATAAGCTTAAATTTTCAAACGAAAGCTTGAAAGGAAAAAGAAAAAGACACTTTAAAAGACAACGTGAATCTTAGTGAACAGCAAGACTCATACTAAACAACGGAAACAGCTATATTTTGTTTTGGTTTAGAAATCATTTCTATTGAAAACCAACTCCTGAAGAAAAAGCTAGAGAAATTGATAAGAACAAAAATGCGAATCTTAGTGAACAGCAAGACCCTTTCTAAACAACGGAAACAGCTATATTTTGTTTTGGTTTAGAAATCATTTCTATTGAAAACCAACTCCTAAAGAAATAGCTAAAGACATTGATAAGAACAAGAAAGAACAAGGTT